TACCCCCCAGGAAGATTCCTGGTATTCATTTCATCAATTAACATTGCACTTCCAAACACACATGAAGATTGATATAGTCTTTATTTATTTATAAATCACTTAATTTCAGGCCTGATGTGTTTGATGGGTAAAAAGTAGAGATACATTAGAAATATATTTTTTGGTGTTTTTGCTTTAAATAATCTGTTTTAAGCTGTTTATAAGAAAACGTCAGAAGTTATCATTCAGAAATTGAAAAACTACAAGTAATAACAGGGCAAAAGTATACAAATGTATGAATGGTGTTTTCGTTTGACTGCCTGTTTGGTCTAGTGGTCAGCGTTCCTGGCTACAGATCTGGAGATCCCGGTTCGATTTCCGGCACTACCAGATTTTTTCTGAGAAGTAGCGAGTCTGGAACGGGGTCCATTCATCCTCGTGATGATAATTGAGGCGCTGTTTCAAGGAAATAGCAGCTCTTCTAGAAACCCGAAATTAATGGCCATGGGGATTCATTGCGCTGACCACACAACAACCTGTATCCGCAAAAAGGTTGGCTCTAAACTTCACCGACAAATGGCGGTCGCTCCGGTGGTATAGTTTGTGTGCGGACTAAAATCATTGTTTTTTTTTATATTGTCACGTATTGGGTGTATCACACAACAAATAACTTCACGCTGTATTGGATATAGCAAATTTATTGCACACTCGCTCTCACAATTACACAGTTCACAATTTTACAAGTACTGCCATCGGCAGTATCACAATTAATTCTCCATTCACTCCTGCGAGTGCTAGACTGCAACTTGGTGACTTCACGATCCGCACTGTGTCACTCCTGATCACATACTCTGGTCACATACTGCTCAGCTGGCGTTTTATACCATTCCCTGTTGTTGTTTGGTTTCTTAGGTAATGTAGTAATGGATTGATCATAAATTAGCAAATAACACTATAAATCTGAAAACAGCTTCTGATGAAAAGACCACAGGCAGCAGGTATTTTTTATTGTCCATTTTGTGTAACGAGAACTCTGGACAGGAGCATATCTCGAATTGATTTAATTTTTTCTCCCCCCATATAATCATAAGTGGTTTATATATTCATCCCTTCTTTACTCTCATTTTTTTAATTAAATCTTGTTAGAGGAAGACTCCTTTATCTTTAACTAAATTTTGCCAAGGGAGAATAATTTTTCTTGTTGATGTTATAAGTGGTGATTTGAAACTGTACACACTCATCCCTGCTCCCTGATTTTAGGTTCAGTAACAGGCACTTCAAGATATTGTTAACTATACCAAATATTATGTTACACTTATCTTTAATGTTGCCAATATTAGAGACATATTTCTAGATATTTTAGAGGAGCATGTGAGGGGCACATTGCCTCACAAAACATTACTCTTATAATACAGATTTTCGTATCTTCAGATGTTCGGGAATGACAGTATCGGTCAAAGTTGTATTTATGAAGAAGTTAAAATCAAATTGAATTTGGTGAATGCTTGCTACCATTTAGCTCAGAATCTTCTGTTTTCCCATGGCTTATCTACAAATGTAAATAATAATCATGTCTGTTTTTTTTTTTTTAATTTGTGTGAGGCTTGGTCTGTCACTTTAAGGGAGGAACTTAAATTGAGGTGTTTGAGAATACAATGCAGAGGAGAATTTCATGACCAGCTTTGTGACTGTTAAGTTCTAAAGAAAAACTGTGCTCCATAGAGATAGTCAGATTTGTATACTCGTTTCTCCTACAGTTGCTTACACTTGCTTAAATATTAATATTAATATATACTAGAGGGCATAAAGTTCGTCTTTTATCAAGTTAACTTCTGTAAGAAACAAGAGGTATTTCTGTTACTTTAGTACCTTCCAAATGGACAGAAAAAGTGGCAGTTTTCAACATTAAAGTTTATCATACATGTTACATGAAATCTGAAGTCTTTGTGATGACTAAATGAAGTGAGACCTTGGACAGTCAACTGTGTCAATAAGGAGAACATCTTACATTTTATAAGCACTCGGTTGGTATAGTTCACTTGTGGACTAAGACCATGTTTGTTTATGTTTTATATGCTTTTCCAATAATACCAGGTTTTATCTGTATGGAATCCCACTCAGTACTGGAAACATTTACACCAATATCAAATCTTTTAGTGTTTAGGACTGTTTAAATATCTCAATATACTTACTGTGAGTTACAAATTCTAATTAGAAATTAAAATTGTTTAAATATATAAAGTCATTATTAAACATTGCATATTGCTTTTATTTGCTGGGATAGCGCAGTCAGTATAGTGACTGGCTAGGGGTTGGACAAACAAGGGTTTGGAGTTCAAGTCCCAGTGGGAGTAAGAATTTTCACTTCTCCATGTCATCCAGACTGGCTCTGAGGCCCACCCAGCCTCCTATCCAATGGGTACCAGGTGCTCTTTCCCGGAGGTAAAGTGGCCAGGGCATGAAGCTGACCACTCTCCTCCAACTAGTGCCACGATCAAGAAATTATTGGTCTGTACATCCACTCCCCCATACGTCTTCATGGTGTAGTGCTTAGTCAGTTAAGCACAGGGACAACTTTACCTTTTACCTTTTTTATATGCAGTTCATAATATTCATGGTTAGCTGTACATTTCTTTGTTCCCAATAACCAATAGAAAAGCCCTCCCAAATTTTCTGCAATGTATGGTAGCCCTGCTTTTCTTAATGTTGTATAAATGAGGGGAACTTATTGCTACCGTGAATATTGAGGCATTGTTCCCTATCAATATTGAAAAATTTCCTCTAACATATTGTGCCAGTTTTCCAGTATCAGTTGATATCTCTATTATGTTTACGTTCTCAACAACTCTGATGCTACTGTTCCTAATTAAACAAATATTTTTAATGACTTTGTTTCTTTCTGACATAGATGATTGGCCATTTTAAAAAATTTGAAGTACTGCAATATTTAAGTTGTTTGTTGAAAATTATTATCTCTCATTTGTGTTAATCAAAATTTCTATCCTAGACTTTGCCTGCTCTGTTGTATTAGAATCTGTTCACAAAACATAAACTGCACCAAACAGACATCTAAGAATACAGGTATATAGAACCATCTTCACATAAGACTGTTATTTTTGTGTCATCTGGCTCATTTTGCTTAATATTTATGACATGCAGTTGTTTAGGCCGATCACAGTGGTTGTGCAGTGTAAGGCATGGATGTTTGTCTGCATTTGTTCTGTGTTTGTGTTGTCCTGTGTAGGCAATGGCTTTGCGAAGGGCTGACCCCTCACCCAAGGAGTCCTACCAACTGTCTTTATGATTAAGAAACTGTGAAACAGAGGTCACGGTTCATCATGGACTGTAACACCCAGAGAATAGTAGTTGCATACAGTTCTTTAGAATTTCAGAGTTGTTTAAATGGGTAGGTGTGTCATGTAAACTTGTACTGATTGAAAATGTGTTGGTAGGCATTTAGTTTTGACACCACAGGAAAATATACACCAATTTCAGAATGAATATTACTTGCCTTGTAACATTCATTTGCATTCATTTTATAGCATGAATCCACTATCAATCAGAAATGTGGAAATGTCACAGAGGGTTGTCATATTGAATAATTTTATCTTCTTTTCCTTCTCCATCAGCATGTACATGGCTTAAGCATTGGAGGATTTAAGAGTAAGTGAATTTTTGCGAAAAGAAAGTAATGTTATTATTACATTTACTTCTGACTCTTATATTTGTTTTTGTGTTATAAATACAAGTATCTATATTGATAAACGTTTAAACTAGAATGTTTATTCTTGTATGATTTACATCTTTTTATTGTTCTATTCAAATGTTTTCTTTAAATACATCGATCCAAGTGCATAGCCCTGAAATGTCGGAAGTTTTAGGAATACTGCGCGTTGTTTTATAAAGTTGTAAATGGGAAAATAGTTAGATTAAAGGTTGGATTTAGACACATGCACAGTTTTAAAATGAACTTAATCTCTGATAGACTTGAAAGGATTCTGACGATGGTGTATATTATACTTCTCTTGGCTTGTTTTGGACTTCATCCATCGTCTGGTACGTAAAAGACAAAAAACCACGACGTTTCGGAGACTGGATGTGTCTCCATCTTCAGGTGGGTAGGGAAGGATAAACCTACTCAATTGGGCCCATTAGAAAGAGCTAGTCGGAATCACTGATGCTTGGTGCATGAAACCCTACTCCTTAAATCTGAGTTACACATTGTAGAAGCAGCTTAACCTAAGAAAACGACAAGGGGGCACCTGAACTGGTTGACAGATGAATTCTCCTGTGCGTGTAACACCCAACACCTAGGCATAATACTATTCCCAGACGCTAACCCATTATCCCTGTCGAGAGTTCGGTGCTGTTGACTACTGAGTCATTCAATTTTTTCCATCCATTATGTCATGTGAAAATTATTTTTATGTCATGAGAACTATCTTGTTACATCTGCATTTTTAGTTTTACATTTGTTTGTTTATCACAGCTTTGGTGACACACGACATGCACTGTATTAAGTTAGTCTCCTTTCCTTATATATTATTCTCTGTGCATTTTTGTCGCACTGCCATATGTTATATTTATGTGTTCTTTAACCTATACTTGACCGTCTATTTGAAATCATACATAAAGTTGTACAGTTTGTTTATACAGTATATTATTAACATTGTACTTTCATTTTCTGAGTGTTTCTTTGTAAGAAATTTTGCATAATATTTGCAGTTATAAAATTTTATTATCAATGATGAAATAGTTATATATCCTATATCAAGAATTGCTTTTCTGTGCGTTTGATGTGTTGGAGTGAATTTTGACTGTTAACTACTACATACATTAAACCCTAATGTGCTGGCAATGTTTTAAAGTGAAATGTTAATTTCAGTAAATTATTTGATTGTCTGCTGTTTTAGTATTTCATAACACTAAACACATTAACTCATATTGACTCAGATCATTATGAGTTTTTAGAAGCAACTCTAATTGTCTAACACTGTATATGTTTTCTGATATATCTGCAGAGCTGCAGTGTCGCATCATGGCAGTTCTCCAAGCAAGCAACACAGCATCGGATCCCCTTCTGTGTCCTCGAGATCACAGTCGATGTTTTCCAAGACATCGAGTTCTGCTTCACTTAAAGGAACGTCTAAGAGAGACAAATCAACTAAGGAGGGTAAGAGGCGGTCATCACGTAAAAGTGATCATGAATCATCGTCAAATGTTAAGGCTGCCGCATCCAGTAGTCAGTGGTACACGACACCAGAATGTGAGCTGTCGCCTCCAGTAATCTCTTCTGTAGCCACCACAACTGTATTTGAACTGCGACAAGAGGTAAGTGTGAAGTATAAAATCAGTAACAGTAAGTATAGGCTAAGAAAAATGGTAAAGCTACGTATATCCCTCTTAGAGGCCATGGAGGCCCATATGGTTGTGAGACGTTAAGATCCACATTTTCTAGACATTTGGCAAGCAGATGGTAATGAGGTTGTCAGTCTTTCGCACTGGCCTCCCTTTACCTCCAGGAAAATTCCTGGTACTCATTTCTGTTAGAGGCCGAGTTGACCCCAGAGCCATAGCATGGTTGGAAGGATTAGATCAATTGAAAAATCCAGCAGTCTCATCAGGAGTTGAATCTGTGATCTTCCAGCTTGTAGCACAATACCTCAACCAACTATACTACTGCATGCCTCCAGTAAGTGTAGGTATTGTCACGTGTATCAGTGACTGAAGATGGGCTTCAGATTGGTAATAAGATTTATTAACCACCTACAAGTTGTAACTACAAATAATTATTACACTCTTGCTGATTTACACAATTTACAATCACTCCACACTAATCTTCTCCGTCTATTTCCACTAGTCTTCACTCTCCATTTCCTGGCAACAGATTTATAACACAGGAACTCACAGAGATATTGGGTTTTCGGACTTTATCCATCATCCCAGTTTTTAAGATAACTAACAAAAAACACAACGTTTTGGAAACTGGATCTGTTCCGTCCTCAGGTGAGGAAAAACCCCTATTCTGTTGGGTCCCTTAGAAAGAGCTAGCCTCAATCACTGAGGGACCCGACAGAATAGGGGTTTTACCTCACCTGAGGATGGAACAGATCCAGTTTCCAAAACGTTGTGTTTTTTCTTAGTTATCTTAAAAACCAGGACGATGGATAAAGTCCGAAAACCCAATATCTCTGTGTGTTATACGCCATCGTCAGAATCCTATAGTAACTACTAACACAGGAACTGCTCACTAAATTACACACTCCCAATGTTGATATACTGCAGCACATGGAACATCACACACTGAGTCTTCTGCTTCTTCTTCTGGACACACTGCTGTTCCCTTGGAACTTCAGAACTCAAGTGAAGTCAATTCCCATTCCCGTATTCTCTTATCTCCTCTCAGCATGGACCACACACAGAAAACACAGCCCCTCTCTTGCTGCATGGCGCAGACCACACAGAAAACACATGTCACATGTCAGACTGAGAGTTCATTGGTCCATTAGCATTGCTGGGCATGGCACGGACAACATAGAAAACACAGCCTTATCTGTTGTTGCATGTTGGACTGTGCTTACAGAGCTGTTGCCTGGCAATGAGTTAATCAAATCAGTTACAGTATTTTGAATTAGTGAACTAGGGAAGCAGAGTCAGTAAAGTGACTGGTTATTGGCTGGATTAGAGGTCTTTCTCTTCCACAATATCCAGAAAAGCCCTACCAGGCATCCCAATTAGTGGATACTTTGAGCCCATAGTCCAGGAGTAAAGTGGGCAGATCATGAAGTTTTGTCACTTATCTCCATTTTGTTCCAGTGTTAAGAGAGTGTGGAGTTGTACGTTCACACCCATATAATGCTGATGCTAAATCACAGAGACAAGTTTATCTTTCAGAAAAACTTAACTTTCCCAAGGGGTAGATTGGCTGGGGGGTGAAGCTGACCACTCATCTCCATCTACTGCTGAGGTCAAGAGTGATGGAGCTGTACCTCTACTCCTCCATATGCCTTAATGGCATAGTGCTTAATTAAGCACAGGGATAGCTTTACTTTTACATTTTTACAGATGTGAAATCTTTGTTTGTAATGATTCTCTAAAGGGTATTCTTTGTTTCACAATGCTTAATCCACTGTGCTGCAGGTCTGTTGATTTGTAGGTATTAACCAAGGTGCATATAGTATGTGCAGCATTTTGGGAGTTAATTGTACATCATCTTCACAATATTAAATGCTATTTTACTGAGATGTTTTGTAATCTTATGTATCAGTTGTTCTAATAATTCAGTTAAAAAAACAATAATTCAGGTAATGTAAGGTAAAATAGAAATGTGTTAACTCCTTGAACATTGTGTAAGTTAAGTATACTGCAGACAGTTGATCTGGTTTTTGTAAAGGTCACCATCATATTAACAAAATACGCCATCCACTGTAAAACAAGGTACCTCATAGCACAATCTTCCCACTGCAATCAGTAAAAGTTGTCCAAATGATAAATTTTTAATGAGGAGCATACTTAAAGCCTGTTTCTGATAAGCATCTGAAATGGCAAAATTTGGATTAATCAGTATTATTAGTATCAGTATTATTTTATTTCCTGCAGTAAGTGTTATGTATTATCTCCTTATAGCTAACACCGAAGCGACCGTTGCGGTCTGAAGTTGAACGTGAACGTCGTATGAGTCGCCCATCAAGTGGGCAATTTCAGACATCAAGTCGATTCAGCACAACTACCATTCTGACCACAAGGGTTAATGGCAGCAACACCACTCCATGCAGTAACCGTGACTCTATAGGTTAGACCTATCTCTGCGACATCATACCTAGCATAGATTTTCCTCTGTGTCACTGTATGCAGTAACTGCAGCTTCATAGATATCATGTATATGTTCTTAGTAAAGATTTGTCTAAGCATCATGTTACAAATTGTTATGCTTATTAGTTACTGTAATTGGGTTGCTATAAACATCTGGGGAGGGCCGGTCATTAACGGTTCACTGGGCATCATTTACATATGTTTAATTTGTTGGCTGGTAACAAAATGTACAATAAACCATATTCAAACATAAATTCACAAAAAAGAAACAAAGATTTGTTCCAAAAGCAAATCTGAATTGTGCTGAAATGAAGGTGGCTCATAGACCCATAACTGTGGCCACACTACCCATAATTTCCTAAGACCTCATGGTAGGTCACAATCAGTTAAGAGTAGGCCTTAAGAGCACTCACTGCAAATTTGGATAAACGAAAGGGTAACCATTTAAGCTATGGACATTCTAACTTCAGAATATGGTGTAACTTGTAAATCCCTATAAGGGCATTTTCTTAATATAATTAATTCTGCAGTACTCTGAAGCTCTAGACACAAATTTAGAATAAGACTGAAAATATTCACCATGTGAAATCATGCTGGGTGCTTCACATACTCAGAGTCTGATAGCTGTTTTTTTACAAAGTTGTCATTCCCCTGTTGTATGCTGTTTGCTTATCTCGTACCACTCGAGACCAGACCTGAAGCTCCACTCATTAGTGACTGTCCTGCTTCGCAGCCTGCAGAATATCTCCTGTACTCTGACTCCTGAACTCATTTTCTTAACTTAGGAAGGGGAGAGGGGGTTGGAGTCTTTATGTCACTGCAGACAGTATTGCCATCTGTTTACCTACATTGTTTCCACATTGCTGATGTCTCAGTCTATGGACTAATCATATGAAGCATGCTTGGCAGGTTCTGTATACTGTTACAATCACACATTCATTAACTGTCGACTTGGTAGGTTAGACTTACCCTAACCACTAGCCACGCCATAGCTCAAGCGGTTAGTGACTGGCTTCCCACCGCGGCAGCCCGGGTTCAATCCCGGGTCTGGTCAAGTGGGATTTGTGGTGGACAAAGTGGCGCTGGGACAGGTTTTCTCTGAGTACTTCGGTTTCCCCTGCCAATCTTCATTCCACCAATTGCTCCGCAATCACCCTAACCTATCATCTGGGGCTGGTAGAATAGGCCAGAAGTGGCCACAGTATAAGGGACTTAGTCCCACCCCACTAGCAATAAAAAAGAATACAAATTTTCTATTTACAAACTAAGTCTTCACAGACTGACTTCTAATTCTTGTTCAACTACCCACTTTCTGTTGCTCTTTTGTACTCTGCTTTATGCCTTTGTGATCCCATTGTCTTCACTCTGTAACCTTCGAACAGCATGAACCATGCAGCACAGAAAACACATGTCATGGGTCAGAATACACATCTATTTACCCGCTGCCCCACGCTGGGCATGTCACTGACTACATATAAAACAATTTATCCAACAGCCTTTATGTTGTTATGTGCGCATATTCTTAGCATTGCCCAGAAATGGGTCTGCATGTCACAGTGTATACAGACTGTTGATTGTCATGTCTCAGCTTGTTATTTTCTCTTTCAGGAACCACGGACTCAACAGCAAGTGAAGAAGATTTGATACCTCCCCCTCTGCCGCAGAAAGCAAGAGAAGCTGACTACTGCAACCTTCCCGATGAACCGGACTCTGTAGTATCAGAGCCTGTGCGGCTACTCACTCCTCGAGTCCGGAACAAGGTGTGCTGCACAGCATTAAATTAGTTCATAATATGGATATCCCTAGATTTACATAATAGTTTCTTTTTCAAGAGTGATTGTATGACTCAAAATTTCTGTTACCCTCTTGGATCCTGTGCCTTAAATTTTCATTGAAGAATAAGTAATTTAGTTATCCTCAGTACCTTATTTAGCTGTTATACATTTTTTTTTAAGATTAATAAGTTCATTATATTTAGTCTTCAGTAGAAGAATTAAATTGGAAAAAAAAAAAGCTTAATGTGAAATTTTGTTAAAACAGGAATTTGCATCAGTTGAAATTGCAAAAGGTGGGAGATACTTGTACACCAAGACAGAATCTACGCAAAATGGAAACCTTCTGTTATCAGAATGTTTCTCACAAAACCAATTTCAATTTATACATAATGAACCAGTCTATATAATGCAGGAACAGAATGAAAAAACAAGATAATTTTATTGTGTGGTGTACTTATTTAATTTACCTGATATGAAACATTTCACAGATGGGAAAGAATTAAGTCTGAGTATCAGCAAAATATATGCACATTATTTTTAATTCAGTGTTTGAAAATGTGACATAGACACAGAGGGAGGAAAATGGCACACAACTGAAAAGTGTTTTGGTAAGTTACATGGTAGCATTCTTTTGGAAGCTGATTGTATACATTTAGTTTGTGCTCTGCAGGTTTATAAATATTGAAATGTAAGCAGCCTATTTTAATTTAGTGTTACTTCTCTTGTCATACTTTTGTAAGCAACATGAAGCTTTAAAATTAAGTATTTCAGAGACTCTTAACATGATCTATTTCACATATGTAGGCTGTATATTACTGTGAAATCTTTGGGCTTGTATTCACAGCTTAATGGTCAGAAGGATACCAGTTCTTAATATATGGCTAAGTCATTACCAGATGTATAGTGACATGCAACGTTCCCTTGTCACTAGTACTTGGCCTGATGGTCTGAGCATTGTTGGGATATTTTCAATGACTGTTTCACATTCGCTCCCTGAGAAACCATACATTTAGATTCACTGCCTTTTTCCTTGAAATGCATACACAGCTTTGGTTGGGAGTCTGAAGGTAAGAGACCAGTTGGCAAATCTATGCATGTATAGGTAGTTAATACTGGAATTGATGTTAAAGAAATTTGGTTCTGGCACGCATACTGGATTCATCTGTATCAGGATAGGGATCAGTGGTGAACTCTTGTGAATATGGAAATGAATGAACTTTTGTTTTCTATAAAATGTGAGGAATTTTTGTAAAAATGAGCGACTGTTAGCTTTCCAAGGACTGCCTCATGGAATTGGTTAGTTAGGTACAGAATCCCTACGTAATGAATCTTTAGAAGACTGGATTTTTGCACCCTAAAGCAATGTTTTCTGTAAATGGAGTTATGTAAAATTTAATCAAAAATATAACAGTGCACTAAATGTGGGATTACCGAATTGGAATTTCACCATATAAGTGTCCCTAATATCTGATTCTTTTCCCTCAAAATATTATAAAATATATTCACATAAAAGAAATCCCTCATGGTGCAAGCAAGATAGTGATGGGATTGAATGCTAGTTGCAAAGGATGTGACCAAAATATGAAGTGGTATAGCTAAAAGTGATGTACAGGTAGCCATCCAAATATGACACTCATGAATCCATAATTTCATTTGGATCCTAGGATTATCAGCAGGGATTTTTATACAAACTATATGCTGTTGTTGGTTTTACATTATAATAGCAAATATATCTTTATGTGTATACAACTGAATAAATATTTGTGTTACAAATAAAAATAAAAATACAAGATTTTTTCTTATCGATTTTGTAGATACCAAATCATTATTGTCTATTGATTATTATATTATAGCCTGTTCCGTGTTAAGTATAAAAATTTTAATAATAAATTTTCAGTATTTAATTTCTTAGTAATTATGCTAACCCTGTGTTTAAGTGGGCATGTTTGTTTTTTTGTTTATTGTTAGGTTTTCTACTAACTTGTAAACTAAATGAAATTATGGATGCATAAATGTTTTAGGAGGTGGGTGGATAGCTATAAAATCTGCCATGCAGATTATGGTACCTTAGTATGATTTCATGTCTGAATAGAGTTCAGACTATTCCAAAAGTTGGCAAACGCTTATGAATTTAGAGAAATACACAGAAAATGAAACAATATAACAGAAAGACAGTGTTGTGAATCAAGTCTGCAACAGTTGCAGCAAAGAAGAACAACTGAGATGAGGTCAGGGACATTTTCTGAACCTCCTTCAGGCAGTTGCTTACACTTACAATGTAGGTAACAAAATCTAACTTACAACAGACAAGTTGTATATAATCTTAAGTCAGGGATTGAATGAAAATGTGTTGTGTTTTGTGTTCACAGCCACCACCTCCAGAACCTGTTGAAAAGGTATCTCCACCAACACCACCACCAAAGAAACCAGCTCTCAAGCCTTCACTTGGTTAGACCTTAGTGTAACTAAAATATTAGGATAGTAAGTTTGTGAAATGTTCAGGATACAGTGAAGCTGATTACACCATATCCTGCACAGCCATGACACCAGACTACAAAGCTGAGTTTCTTTATCATTATTCCAAAATTAAGGTGCTTCTTTTCTGTATTTACCTGAATTAAGGTAACCACAAAAAGAAATCATCCTTTTAGAAACAGAAGGAAACAGTGGAAAAGAGTAATGCTACTTTTCCTTTTCAATTTGTCTAATCAATATCTGACCCTTTCTGCTCAAAATTACACCTGCCTTCATAATTTATTTTCAGTTAACATCTCAGTTTGTGTTTGTTCATGGCCACATAGACCATAAGGTATTGTAAATATATAATTTAAAATGTGCCAGCAAATGACAGAGATAGCTTTTGTAGTTATATCACTATCTGCAACACCTTATACACAATAACAAAAGGGAGAACTTGCCAAAACCACTATTATGGATGTTCCAACAAATTATATAAACAAGAAACAGTGATCCCATGATAGTGGAGGAATGATGGTTGTGGTTGCTATAAAAGGCTTCATGTTTACAATTGCATTTTTCACAAGCATTTACCAGTGAAATGTAATTTCTGTTCTTTCATTTGATCATATCCTCAACTTATTAAAGAAATGGTGTATTGCAGTAGAGTTAAATGTTTTCCACACTAACCTCACACAAACAGAGATGTGGATTTCTTGCTGATGTGGCCTGCTCAGTCAGCAATATTTGCCTGGCTCCTGTTTATTTCTTTGAAAAATTTGAGATATCACTCTTGGAAATAAATAATGGTGTACTTTGTAAGACAGCCCATATTGCTGTACTTCTCAGTCTTAATATCATGAAGTACAGGGTGTCTGTACCTTATGAATCCATTTATAATGAAACAGCTCCTTATTCCACACATAAGCCCTCCACATTATTACATTTATATAAATATATCTATTCTTCTTGGATGGTCTATTTTTAGACCTAAATGCCATATCTTTCAAATATCAAGAAACTCTTGATCCTTTCATTGTCATATTGGCTTTCTTTATTATAATGGATATGTGTGTATGCTTATACGTAAATATGCCCTGATTTAGCTGCATTCCTGGAAAACATAGTGACACAAATTGAAGGTTTTTTCCTCATAGACATTAATGCTGAAATGTTCCTGAGTCAATAATTTTCTGTCATTAACTTGATAATATGATTTTTCTTGGTTACTTAAAGAGAAGCAACACACTAATGCCATAGAAAGAGTATTATAACATTTAGATATGACATTGAAGAAGCCCTCTGCTCGAATGCCAGTGTGCTAATGCCTCCATGAGGGATACTGAAATATCTCATCTCCAGAATGAGGCACGGAAAAAAAGAACACATAAGTATGTGTGTTCTTCACAGTATAAACTAGATGTATAAACATGCAAAGTGGAAGATACATAAATCAAAGTGTACTTGTATAAACATACACAAGAGTTATATAAATGGTCCTGTCCTTTGAAATGTTACAAATATAATTTTAATGCTGTTGGGGTCCTGAGCAGTGTTTTGAATAGAACTTTTGCTAATGTATGAGAATTGTGGTACAATGAGGTACTTCTGATACATAATCAATTGTAAATAAATCCTCTTATGTACAAACACATGTTTAGTAGTGCTGTTTATATTCTTCTGTGAAGACTTCAAAGATTTGAAGGTAAATAAAATATCAGTGGCAATTTTATTAGAACTATTTACAAAGAAATCACCCAGTAGCTAGGTATATTTTAAATTTCTGTGTAACTGACCTGTTTTTCACACTCTGTGGATGTAGGCAGTGTTGCTGACATTGCATAGGTACATGCTACATCCATCTTCATGGTGAAAGTGAGTAAGGTAGGTGGTGCATATTTAAGTACTCACCAATCATTATGTTGCTTAACCTCATTTGCCATCAGTTAAGCAGCTCGGGAGATTGCCTAACTATTTCTATGAGAGCTTTCCCTGCCCATTGCCACTCTTTGTTCAGACCAAGCACCAGCCCCCACCCTTCCCACTGTAGATGTTATTGGCCAGAACATTGCTAGGTAACAGACCAGTAAAAACACGGGATACACACATGCAACAATGGAATGAGGTTATGCAGCCCGCTTCTACATAACAGCTCAGTAAACAGACTTATGCGCAGGTGCAATGATGTCACACTCCAACCATACTAGTTCTCATGCGACTTGTTTTCAGTGTTGTCCATGGGGCACCAATATAACAAATATCTGTTTAAGGTTAGGTTAGTGGAGAGTCCAGGAGGGTTCAGTAGTTAAGTGTACAAGGATGAGAATGGAGCATGAATTGTGAAGATCGAGTACAGATTAGGACAGAGGAGTACAGAGCGATTGAAGACAAGAAGACTTCAGAGTGGTTGGAAGTGATAGTTTCTGTATTGAGATCCGTTGCTAGGAGACAGCTAGTGAAAACAAACCTAACCTAACCAAAGTGCTAATAAATCCAATAATCCAAACTAGAACCCATCATTTTCGTCGCACTTACCACGCTACATATGACAATATGTGTGTGTTTGTGCGCGTGCATGTTAATACTCGCCTGCCCAACTTGCTCTGACCCTGAAGATGGAGGCAGCATGTACCTCTGAAAGGTTGGCAACACTGCCTACATCTACACAGTGCAAAGATCCACAAGCAGAATCAACGTCAACAATGAACCGCTTTGGGAGCCTAAAATCAGAAAGATCCATGAGTTGACCAATTCTGTTATAAGAAAATATTTTTGGCTAATCCTTATGTCTTTCTTGCACTGTTCCTCTACATGACTGATAAACAAACAAACTCTGTGATTTTAGTCGGCAAGCAAACTATACCGACCGAGCTACCGCTGCTTGTCAGCGAAGTTTAGTTGCTCATTTAAAATCCAGTTTCATAAATGCTGATTCTTCAGTTCTACCCTATATGCTAATTGACTTGCTCTTTAGTCTCAGCACATGTTACAGTCAATGGCCACTCAAAATGTGCATTATCATTATCATCTTATCAGCCTTTCTTTGAATTATTCCACTCCTTAATAAACTTTCTTGTGGTTTATGCAGTTGTATGCACACTGAGCTGCCATTCTTCCATAAATCTGACTAGTGTTAAAACCCTCCAATCACAAATCATTGTTCTTCTTGGTGAATTTTATTGGTGGAGCAACAGTGTTCATCTTATAACAGTACAGTATTATTGCTACTCAAAAGACAGGTAAACTGGGAAGGTTCATATGTTGCAGATGTAGTTTTTTTGAAAACTGGTATTACCATTGCTTGTGATTTTCCCTCATAAAAACATTATGTTATAGAACTGTGGTTTCTGTGATGTCCAAGCTCTAGCCAAAGCTTCTAAGTGATATTAAGTATGGTATTATTTTGACACGATTGTGTATTGAAATCAGAGATTGTATGACTTCTGTTACATTTTATTTTCACCTTAAATTTCTGTTGCTTTATACCTGGAGCCAACAAATTCATTAAATTGTGGAACACAATTTGTTCCTTTATGTGTGTGTTGTGTAATATTACAAAGGGTTACTGAAGACATTTCTGTGGCCTTACAACTCCAGTTTTAATATGTTATTTTCATTATGTATATTCTTAAAGGATATTATGAGGGTTAAGAACCATGGTACAAAAATGAATTTACAGAAACTGGTTCTGGTAATATGGATTGGACTCAGCTGGGTCAGAATATTGTCCCATGGCATGGTCATTGTAAGGATGAACCTCTGGGTTTAGGTCCTTGGTAATGTATTAATGTCTTCTACAATCATTTGTGATTTCAAAAAGTTGGAAATCAGTATCAAAAGAAATAAAATTTTTAGGAAGTTAGTACCAAAATAAATCGATATCTTTGGTACCAGCTCCTTTTGTATCACCTTTGTGTATCCTTTTGTATGAATTTTTAAAGCTATACTAAATTACATTTAATGGAATCTGAATTTTTTAAAGTTAACCATTCTTGAAAATAATAAAGTATAGGAAGCGTGCAGATACTGCTGTACACTATGGTCTGTTTTCAAAAGTGGACACAATCCTTGCATAAGTATACTCAACTTTCACTTTCCTGAACAGATATTTTTATTTGTAATTAAAAACATCTTTATGAAGCATTTCATGCTCTTTGTATACCTAACTTTTGAATCAGTTGTTCAGCTGGAAGTGAAAATCATAGGGGTGTCAGTATGAACAATATTTTCATTCCTTTGTTCCTGTCTTTAACAGATGAGAAAAGTTCTGAGATGCTTGCAGCACTGATGCTGTGGAGTGCAGGTTCTTGAAAGTTTGCATGAAAGCCATGAAACTTCTGCTTTGGTTGTATTTGTCTTAGTGAGGAGTGACATTGTGATAGTAAGAATTCTAAAGTAGATATGGTTCCTTACTGTGTCTCGTCTCATGTTAACATGTGGGCCATATTCAAAGAAAAGAGGACATAATATACCCATTTGAAAACTGCCTGAGTTTGTTACAGAAATTGATCCATTAAGTACCATCATGACGATGGTATCTGATGCATCAGCCAGTGATTGCCCACCTTTGCTTCAAGAAAACTGTTTGAATTTCATGTAAGCCAGAACATCTTAGTCAGCAAAATGAGTAGCTGTGGGCTTGATATGTTTCTCTTTGCCACCACCATGCACCAACAGCTGTGTCTCACCCAGCTTCCTCTCCAGTGGGTGTTGAGGATCCTTTCCCCTGGGATGAAGTGACAAGAAGCTGTTATTACTGAGCCACATTTATTGCAAAGATTAAGAATGTATATTAACCGTATATAAACAGTGTTTGAATACAGAGATAGCTGACCTTGACCTTATAGTTTGATATGTTTTCTTTAAATGATGAATCTAGTTCACATTTACATTTTGATTTATATGTTTAATGAAGTTGGAAAAGAATGCAAAATGACACCAAGATTTGAGCTAGTTTCATTTTACTTTTATTTTTATGCAGTACTGTGGGATGTATCATACAGACTAATAATATAAATCAGAGTGTCAAAATATGTATCAGGATATATGTAATGTTTAAATAGCTCATTTTCTTGCTAAAAGAATGCATTCGTGATGTAGCATCATAAAGAATATCACTCATTTAATAGTGACAGGACCTTACAGGAAGTATTAAAACATTATTTACATCTTTTCTTTACTATGCAAGGTGGTATAGTACTGTAAGATATTTAGGAAATAGCATGGTACTGGCGGCAATTTTTCATGTTTTACCTCAGTGTCTACAGGAAAATTAAGGGATGATAGCTTAAGGATCATGTCCAGTTGTGGACTTTGGTTATCAGTGGTGTTGAACCTTGAGGTTCTTCCACCAAAGAGCTGTTAATTTATTGCAATTGCCGATAGTTTGCATGAATACACAGTTTTGGAAAAGATTGTAACATACTTAGGTAGCCACTGTATGCTGTGTATTACTGTAGTTTTAGTGAGAACATTTGTCACCTCAGCCGGGAATACATAACATCTGAGCCATAGGGGTGTACCTCATGGCCACCTTTCCCAATTCTTGAAACAGATCAGAGGTTAGCTGTTGCAGTGGGGCCCTCTAAAACTTGGGAGTATGCTGTGATTTCAATCATAGCATGGAATAGAGAGAAGGAAATTTTCTTGGATGTCCTGAGTAAAATGTTCGGCGTAGATCAGAGGTTAATTTCACAAAGCAATAATTTTTAACCCTCTCCAGAGTAAGCACCGAGTGGACTGGTGTAGTAGTTACAATAGACTCCTTAACTGAGTTACTGGTTGTTGTGGCTGAGGAGCTGTAATGTTTTCTTCAGTCTCGCCAGACAAATCTTATGACAATACCTTGATCACCTTACAAACCCTTATCTACCCAAGTTTTATGAGTTCATATACTTATCTATTTCAATAACCTATGCAACCGAAATGCTATTGTTAAATAATGTAACAGTCACTGAATCCAGGCTGAAGGTTCTGAGAATGAGGCATATGCATGACTGCTTGTGAGAGCTGACTCTATACAGTTTTGTGTCATCTGTTACATTTTTATCAGATATATTTTGAAATAACAATCTCTATGTTGGAAGTTTTCAGAAAGAAACTTCTCTATATTAAACAGTGTATGAAAGTGAAATGATAAAAATGTATATGAAGCTATGGCTTTTGTAAGCATTCACCTATGAGCAAGGCTTCAAACATACAACCTGAATGTACTAGCCACTTAAGCAAAGTCCACTTGCACACAATCTCACAGCATGTTTTATATAACTTGAGTATACAAGCCACTTAACAAAGTCTACTTGCCCATAGTCTCACAGTGTATTTCATATAATTTGAATATTCTAGCCACTTGACAAAGTGCATTTGGCCATAGCTTCACAGCATGTTTTGTTCAGAAAGAAAAACTTCCTTCTCTATAACCAGCTAAGTGTCTGGTCAGAATGTCAAAGTCCCTATCTTACAGACCAAGGATGTAACAATATACTGCCTGGCCAGGGTTATCACTTACCTCATAGGGTGCTGCTGGATAAGAATGGAGCAGTGCTGGAGTGGTGATTAGCTAGAGAAAACTGAAGAAAGTGCAGTGCCATTGTATCCACTATGGGTTTCCTGTGAATTTACCCAGACTGAACCTGAGGCTTCACTATAGGAAGCCAGTATCTAATTGCCTGACTTATGGCATAACCTTTATATTTTATACAAATATTTTAAGTATTTATAAAAATTATTATTAGATATTAAGCTCAGGGAACAAAATTAACATAATCTTTAGTTTTCTTTCACTGCTTTGGAGGCAATAATACAGTAATACTCATTGTCCTTATGTGTAATTAATACTGACACAATTAACACAACCATTTTATATTTTAGTTACATGAGAGCCCTTTTTGCTCTCCACTTTGTCTTTTCTTGCTTTTTCCAGAATAAAATGTAAAGATAATTATTTATATGTATTGTAAGTAAATGAGGGCATGCGGTAGCATAGTTGGTTGAGTCACTATGCTACAAGCCAGAAGGTCGCGGGTTCGAGTCCCGATGAAATTCATTTTTTTCCCCCCCAATTAACCTAATACTTCCCAGCTGCACTATGGCCCTGAGGTCAACTCAGCCTCTAACAGAATTGAGTACCATGAACCTTCCTGGGGGTAAAGGGCAGCCAGCATGTAAGACTGACAACCTTACTGCCATCTGTGAGTCGATTGTCTAGATAATGTGGGACCCTCAACATCTCTCAATCCTATGGGCTTGCATGGCCTGTTACAAGGATAGCTTTACCTTTACCTTATTGTTAAGTAAATAACCCAGAGTGGGTGCATTCTTTCTTTTTACCAGTTCTTGAACACCCTGCCATGTAGATA